TTGTGTTGTAGCTACCTAGCAATGGAACTACTAAGGTCAACTGTTAGAGGCAGTATTGTGAATGGAAGGGGTTAGGAAAAGGATTTCTAGAGTTCTGGTAAAATTTTACTTCTGGTCTCCTGAGGGTACTTCATTTGTGAAAATTGATTGAGCTATTTATTTAATACTTGCTTATTTTTCAGTAAGCATATTATATGGTAATACAACTTAAAAAGCAAAACTCACCGTTATTCATTAGCACAGACAATTGTTGTTGCTGTTGTTGTTGGGTGCTCACCCTCCTTTCTCCTCTGGGCCCTGGCAGGGATTTCTAGATTCTCTTTAGAAAGTCTTGCTGCTGGGTGCCACAAACGGTTTGTGGTGAACTGCTGAGTGAAAGCCTGAACGCTTGGGGATTTGAACTCACTTCCAGTGGTACTGTGGAAGAAAGGTCTGGTGATCTGCTTCCATAAGGATTACAGCTAAGAAGACCCTATGAGGCAGGGGTACTCTGTAATACCTAAGGTAGAGTTGAGTCGACAGCAACAGATTTGGTCTGGTCTATATGAAGACTTGTTCATGACCAGCCTTGGAGCAGTAGACCTTTCTATGTGTACATGAGATACCCAGTCTCCATTGCAGTGTGGTGAAGAGCTGGGGTCTATTGATGCTTCTTTGCTGAGCATCATGATTGAAAACTTCATGTTTATCATCAGGCCTTCTCTGGGTTATTACTTGCACCACAGGCTCAATGACTAGAGACTAGATCCATAGTTGCTTCCCTCTCTCTAGCTTTGGGTCAGAAGGTCTCAACACAGCATGTTAAGTGTGAAATAGAAGAGTCAAGGTACTGTCTCTTTAGTATAGCCAATTCATAATTTATAGGGGTGAGTAGTTGGATTGGGAAAAGAAACATGGCTCTTTCAACTACCTCAGGCAGTTTTCACAACATTTCACTGCATAGGCTTAAACAAAATTCCACCCAGATGAATTTTAGATTCCCAACCCTGATTTTCGTGACTCACAAGCAACACAGCCAGGCTCCCAAAAGTCCCCTAAGATTGTAAGAGGGGATAGAAAAAGAAGAGTCACAGTTTAAAAAAAGTCCACAGTCTAAATTAGCAGCAGAATGAGCTGTTAGATCTAAGGGAACTGAGAAGAGGCATTTAACATTAAAGTTGGTGAACTTCAATTTTGGAGAACTTATCACAACCCTTTTTACTACTAATAGGTGTTTGAACTTGGAAAGAAAATAGAAATGATATGTTCTTGAAACCAGACACAGGATAATCCAAGATTCCTGCTCATTCTCCTTCCTCTGTGGTCTTGGCAGCCCACCAATCAGAGGTTGTGCTAAATCAGGATCTCTATCATACTTAGAATACTTTTCATCCTATTGTCTTTGGTGTTTATTATTAAATTTTAAGTGTTCTCTCATTATCAGTCATCATCAGTATCCTCAAATTTTCTTCTTTTCTTGTGTAACTAGAAGCATTATATCTTTATTAAAATCAGAAAATAAAGAAAATTGGAAATACTGTCTGAACTGACAAGATGCTGATAGACTTCCTTGTGGCCTTTTAAGAAGCTTGAACATTGAAAATATTTTAACCCAGAGAATAGAAATTATGGCAGACACCCATGCACTAGCCAACTAATTTTCTATTGCTATATTCAGATCCTGGGTAATAAAAAAGAGGTGAACTATTAAAGATACAGCTGAAGTATTATCTTACATCCATTCCTTCCTAGAGATGGTGTATATTACTTCTGGGCATACTTCTTCATATAAATAGATAGATTAGATATATAGAAGACAGCCTAATGGTTTAATGGAAAGTTGGGCAGATGAGTAGATGGATGAATATGTAGCTAAAATTATTTTGTGAATTTTAAAAGCAGACATAAAGAGCCTCTTTTATAAATTTATTGCTTACAGACTTATAGCACCCAAAGCAACTGCACATATATTATCTCACCTGACCCTCACAAGAAACTTTTGAAAACACATTATTCTAGCCCTACTACGCTCCTCCCACTTCATAATGAGAAACCTGAAGCAGAAAGACTTTACATTATTACTTAAGCTACATGGGTAGTCAAGGAGCATGCTTTACTTTATTTTTTAAAAAGTTTTATTGAGTTGTAACTAACATATCATGTGATTCAATAGTTCAGTCATATCAAGAAGGGTTGTGCAATGATCACTATACTCAACATTGGAACCTTTTCTTCTTGCACTCATTGATGTTGACTACCCCATTTTCCCACCCTCCTCTTCTGTGTCCCCAGGCAATCATTAATCCAGCAGCTATCTTCACAAATCTCCCCATCCTGGTTTCCATATACAGAAAAACATACAAAATAAGGATTAAAAAGAACCACCCCCAAACAAAAACCCCACCATATCAAATATCTAATGACCACATCAAACAGAAAAACACCTCAATCTAAGAGAAAGTAGAGGATATTAAAAATGTATAATAAATTCAAAATAGGTCCAAAAGGAGATCTAATGACAAAGGGTTACACACCAGAATAAGTACCACTGCTAAAATCTACTTTATAATCCTCTTGGTCTGATATCAGGGCTATTCATGTTTCTAGTCTATGGCCGGTGGCGAACCACAGGAGACAGTCCATATAAGGATCCTGCAAATGGATCTGGGGCTCCTTCAGTCATTCATAGCATTCTGACAGACCAGGTGTTTAGAGTATAGTTACTGGTACTGTTCCTTTCTCTGGGTTTTGATCTTATTTACAATCCTTGGCTCACACAGGCTGATATGTTTCTTCCACGTGAAATTAGCTGACTCCTCACTTATGCAGCTTGTTTTGAGACAAACCTTTAAGAATTCAGATGTTATTTTACCGGAAAGCCAGCACCATCTGATTTCTTGACCACACTTTGCTATGGCACCCATATCTTCAGTGTTCTCCTCATGAGGGTGTGTACCGGATGGGGCCATGTCACCAGAATTAACTGTTCTTATATAAGGGCTATGGTCAAGTGAAAGTTCAAAATCCATTCATATAACTATGGTTTCTACCTGTCCCTGATTCACTTTTAGAGACACCATTGTCATTTTATTATAGCACACATCATTAATCACCTCCATGGGGCTTATGATAATGTTATTGATAGTAACATGATTTTAGTCAATGGTGAAACACTGTTGAGCAAAGGAATTTATACATGTGTAGGACTCCTTATTAGACTCCAATACATAAATTGTTAAATTTGTACAACTTCACACGAGGGTGCCTGGACACTAGTTAAATACGCTGTGAGGATTGGATCTATGGAAATACTTCTAGTAACCCTCATTTACAAGGCAGAACCATGCTTGGTAGATTAACACATGTCATAAAAACACAGTGTGAAAATAGCAATATATGTTGGTTCTAGGTTGCCACTCATTGGGCACCCTCAAAGCAATAGAACTGAGCCTGCCTAAAGAAGGAGCATATTATAAACTACTTGGCACTCCTTTTGACAATCAGCCAGCTAGTAAGTACATAGCTAATAACAGTTGACTTACATTAAAAGACCCAAGAGCACTTAATAACATACAGTCATTATTGAGTTCATTGGTGCTCCAGCACATATTTTGTGAAGCATTTCACGTTCTAGGACAGTTCTCACACAGTAAAATCTACAAATATTCCTCTTCCCACCCACCTCAATTGATGACCTCTAATTGATTTTAAAAGAGTCCCGGTGCCATTGTGGGTTAATCATCAGACTACTAACCAAAAGGTCAGCAGTTCAGCTCTCCTCCCCCCACCCCCCACCGCGCCACCTCACCCCCTAGTTGCTTCACAGGAGAAAGAGAATGCAATCCGCCCCCATAAAGAGATTCATAGCCTCAGAAACCGTAGGGCACAGTCTTACTCTGTTCTGTAGGGTCATTATTAATCAGCTCAATGGCTGTGGGTTTGGTTAGGTTAATTGACTTTCAGGAGTTCCTGGGTGGTGTAAATGTGTAAGCACTAGACCACTGGCCAAAAGATTTGTGGGTTGGAGCCCATCCGGAGGTGCCTTGGCAGATGAACTTCGCAATCTGCTCCTGAAAGAGCTGCAATCAACTGAGTGTCAAGTGCAAACAACAACCAACTTTAAAATCAATCAATTATGAATCATGTTAGGACAATAAAGCAATAATTTTGTAAACAATAAAAACAAATAGAACAAATACTTCCTGGCTTTGCCTTATCGAACAGAATTGAAACAAGCAACCTTGAATTATTCATTCCATACCAAATAAACCAGTATGAGCTTTTTATTCCATACTAAATAAACCAGAAAATTCTATATTAAAAGAGTTATAAGGCTTGAGACATTTCCAGAGGGGATATAAGGGGCAGGAAGGATCGCTATCCCATTAGTCATCATGCTTAAATTGGTCATAGAAACTTTCTCTCTGAGTCTAGGCAGATCAAATCTAAGATGATAGAGGCTATCAAGATGTGTGGATATCAATTCTAAAGTATTTCTGCTGCAAGAGCTATAACGCCTTGCCTTGAACTACGTATTCTAGTTCTTCACTCCTTTGAACAACTACGGCAAACCTTTAGTCCCTCAGACTTTGTTCTGTGGCAGAACTAAACAACACCTAGTAATGAATCACTCTTCAGTGAGAATGATCAGCTTGCTAACTCCATTTCTTTCCTTTCAAAGCGTGTCTCCAGTTTGTAGGGGAAAACAATAGACTGAATCTGGCATTTAGTGCGGCCCTCAGCCGGAGATGCAGACTTCCATCCAGTCTTAGCTTTAGAGTAGATCCATTTTCTATTTCCAGTCCTCCTTCCAATTTTGTCTCCATCCAGAGTGGGCTTGATTTACAGCGGTGAGCCCTCACACCCATCCAAACTCATACAATATTCCAGTCTCGATCTCAGCTCTAATCCTCAAACCTTGTTCAAACCTATTCCTCTCTCCCAGCGTTTCTAAGAGACAGGTCCTACTAACTTATCCAGCCATCCACCACATCTAATCCCTTTGCCTCTCCAATACTTACCCACAATCCTCCAGCCAGTCTTCAATTTTATTGATAGTATTACCTAGAAAAGCCAGACACCAGGGCACAATGAGAGTTGAAGGAAGCCACACCTCACGCCATTCTCTAAATGTTCTTCGCCTTCAGTTCATTATGAATCTTTTCATTTCCTTCCAAGCTTTCTTTAAGGCCTGATAATAATATACCTATTATTCTATACCTATGTGAGAAAAGAGGACACATTGCCGCTCTCTCTACCTCCCTACCTGCTTTCTTGCAGAACTCTGGAAAACATCTAGGATGCTCTCATTTCTCCAGAATTTGGGAGCAGGGGTAGGTTTTTATGCCACATTTATTCTACTCCAAGACAACACGAAAGGCCAGCTGATGCCTAACAGCCTCTTACCTTCTGCTTAAAAAAAAAAAAGCAGAAAAGGCTTAGCCCTTGGTATGTTTATACAATTTTTGTTACTCTTAGGTCTGTTATTCTACTTGAACCCAAAAGAAGATCTGAGAGGTACTGTAATAATCATAACAAAAATATTAATAGGAATAGTAATGGGTACTATTACTTAAATTGGACAGCTATGTTAGTGACTTGCCAAATTCCCCAAAGCTTGTTAGTTACGGAGTTGTGGTTAGAGCCAAGGCATCCAGATTAAGTGTAACGTTTTTACACAAACAAAATAACTCCCCCTGAAACCATTCTTAGGGTACCTCCAAACTCAGTTCTTACAGATACTTTCATGCCTCTAATCACATGTCTCTTTTCCACATAAGGCTTACCTTGTAGTATTTTATTTCTCTTTACTTAAATTCATTTAAACCAATCACAATGAACCTCATGGTGGACCCACCCTTAACCAAATGCCAGTATTATTTATTGCAGACCTAAGTCTACTGTCACATTTACTCCGCCACAAGACAACATAGCAGAGCGGTGAGCAGCTGGTCTCTCAAAGTCTCTTACCTTCCTGGAAAACATCATCCAGGCTGGAAGGCTCAGCATCTGGGACATCCTGCAGGGCAGCTGCAGCCTCCTCTTCCAGAACCTGGGTTTGCCAGTGACGGCTCTGTCGGAGCCAGGCCCTCCTTTTCTCCCAGGATGTGGGGCTCAGCACAGAGCCCTCCATGGCCGTGACTTGGACTTCAGGGCTTCCCATCCCAGGGCTGACAACCTGAAAGTTGAAACAAAGGGTCAATTCCCTCATTCTCTGCCCAGAAATCACCAATGTCAAAGTTGTTCCCCAAGTCTTCTCTTGTTCCTGTGCAAAAGACCTTGATCTCTCGGGGCATGCAGGAGGAGACAGGAGGAGATGTCTGTCGCATCTTGTCTCCCCTCTACACCGCTTGGGGGAAAAAAAAGATCTGAAAAATCTTAAATTCATGGCAAGTTTTTCAACTCATCACTTCTGGAAACTTCAAACATATGCTTTAAATGACACTGAAAACAGTCTTTCACCTTAAAGAATCTCTATTTTTCACGATAGCTGAATGTTATATTAGAAACTCTTCTTTGATCCTTGAGGATTTTGCAATAAGAATTGTCTATTCAAAGGAAAATATCCTTACTGAAATACTCCCTGGGACTTGAGGCTACCATGCCCTAGTGTGAGAAAAGCAGATGACTGCGATCTCAAGGTTAGGATGGATTCAGATCTCTTCCTTTGAGAGTGCTCAATGTATTACCACTGAGATACCATATATGATAGCCCGAGACTACCATATGGTTACTATTTTCATGCTCTCTTTGCTTTTTTATGACACATGCTAGTCTAGCAGGCATGGTTCTGCCTTTGGGAATGAGTGTTATTGTACCTTTTGCCCTTTACCCAGCTGTCATTGTTTGTCTAAACAGTGTGCAATCACTTCACTATTAATCTATGCAAGTCAACAATTCATGTACTGTGGTCTAAAAGCAAGTTCATTTGTGTAAAATTTCCTTTTCTCAACAATGTTCTTAATTCTATACCACTGGCAAAACAATTGACACTATCAATAGAATTTTCCTATGCCTGATGGGGATGGTTTATAAAGTTCTCTAATAAAATGATACTGCTGTGCCTAAAATAAACCTAGGATCTAGATTTAATCCTAGCCCTAATCTAAGAACATTTTGTTCTTATGACATGGCCCTATTTAATATTCTCCCTCATGAAGAGATCACTTAAGATATGGGTGCAATAGCAAAGTGTGGTGGAGAAATCAGATGCTCCTCTGCTATCAGAAAGAAAAGTGCATGGGATCTTAAAGAATAGTCTCAAAACAAGCAGCCGTCTAAGTGAAGTATTAACTAAGTCCACATGGAGGAAGCACACTAACCTGTGTGGTACAAGGATTATACATAATAAAATCCATGTCCAGAGGAAGGAATGGTTTGTTGTTAGGCGCCATCAAGTTCTTTCAGAACTATAGGGCCACTATGCACAACAGAACACAACCTGGCCTGCTCCTGTGCCATCTCTCAATTGTTTCTATGTAGTCACTGTATCAATCCATCTCAGCAAGGACCTTCCACTTTTTTGCTGCCTGTCTACTTTACCAAGCATGATGTCCTTCTCCAAGGACTGGTGTCTCCTGACAACATGTCTAAAATATGTAAGATGAAGTCTCGCCATCCTGGCCTCTACAGAGTACTCTGGCCATACTTCTTCCAAGACAGATTTATTTGTCCTTTTTGCAGTCTATACTTTAAATATTATTCTCTAGCACCAATATTCAAAT